TTAACTTTTTGAATTTTTCCAAACATGCCAAACTAGCCCTAAATCATTCTCAATACCCTCTTAGAAAAAAATATATACATTAAGTAGGTGTTTGAATTGGAAAATGTTTGGTGGCCACAAATTATGTAGCTCAAATGGTCTAAAAATGTCAAAACGACGTCGTTTTGGATACAAAACAACTCCGAAAATGCCGAAACGACGTCGTTTTGGCATTTTCGGGCCATTTGAGACACAGAATTTGTGGCCACCAATCATTGCCGGTTTGAATTAACCTAGAAAAGTCAAAAAAGTCACTACAAAATCAAAAAAGTTTATACTATTCACCATTTTTTGGTGGAAAACTGGGCTGATTTGTTAGAGGGCAAAAAGACTTTTTTGCCCTTGTTTGTCCCCTGCAGCTCACATGCGAAGGGAAAAGAAAAAAAAAGAAAAAAAAAAAAAGAGAAGAGCAATGCAGCAATGGTCAACAGTGCACTGACTAGTTCACTGACATGCACGGCGGAAAGCATGTCAACCGTCAGTGCACATAAGGGTCTTTTAGTAATTTTGTTAGTGAAAATTGTTTGAGGGCCCGAAATGGTTGGCTCGAAACCCAAAATGACGTCGTTTTGGGTTTCATTTTTTTTTCTTTTTCTTTTTCTTCCTTCTCTTGCTTTTGTTTTCTTTTTCTTCATTTTCTTGTTTTTGACAGAGACACAGAGACCAGAGAGAGGAGAGGAGAAGAGAAGAGAAGAGAAAAAGAAGAGAGAAGAGGGAGGAAGAGAGAGACAAAGAGAGAGAGAGAGGGAGGGGGAAGAGATTTGTGTAGATCTCCGACGCCACACCGGAGCTGTTATCACCAACGGGCACAGAGGCGTGTTGATGATGATAATCAAAATCTGGGTTTGAATCCAATTTTTTTTTATTTTGATGATGATGTGTACCGATCTGATAATGATGATGATATATACACATCTGGGTTTGAATCAAAACCAAAATCTTGGTTTGATGCCTCTTGGATTGTTGATGATGTTGGTTGATCTCTCTTTCTCTTTCTTCTTCTTTCTTCTCTGCTCCCCTCTTCCTTCTTTCTTCTTCCTTCTTTCTTCTTCTGTGAGTTACTACGAAGGAAAAAGGGAAAGAAAAAAAAAATAAAGAATCCAAAAACGAGCTCGAGCAATTCGGGCTCTGTAATGGGACTATTTTGTTAGTTGATATAATATTTTAATATACATTTTTTTATAAAAAATCAAAAAGTTATCACAAATATATATATTTTTTTCCTCTACTTTTTTAGTCAAAAAATACACTTATATAGTTTATCCCAAACAACCCCTAAGTCTTTTAAGTTTAAAATAATTAGGCATCATTTTTAACTATATATTCTAGCCAAAAAATTACTATAAATTGTCACATCACTCTCTTTACTTTTCTACACATATAGTCATAAAAAGTTAAGAGATTAATAAAGTAACTTGTTCCCAAACGAGGCATTACTAATGCAAGTGTTGTGTAGATATTGAGATAACCAAAATTAAATATATCTTTTAATATAAAAATAATAAAATATTTTTTTTATTTATACAAGTAGTAAATTATTGGTAAAAATTACCTTGCGTGTTATGTGATTTAAAATTTTAATATAATTATAATAAATTTATAAAATTTGATTTTTTTTTTTCAAACTTCAAAAAAAATCAATGTAAGTTACGCATAAATAAATTAAATTGGTGTGTTTCATAAAAGTCAATATAAGTTTTGTTATTCAAAATTCCATAAACAACGCAGTTGTCCTCCAAAGGAACTCTTTTTTGACTTGTTCCCTTGAAAGTCCATGCGTGCTAGCAGTTTAAAGTTTACCTCAATGTAATCAAATTTTGAAACATTTAGGCGTCGTTTGGCAATACTTACGTTTTCAGTTTTCTATTTATATTTATAAAAATCTTAAAAATTTAAATAAAAATTTGTTTAGTAAAATTTTTGATTTATAAATCAGTGGTCTCAGTTTATAAATTTGGCCAAAAAATAAAAACACAAAAAATATGTTTCTATTTTGAGTTTTTAATTTTTTTTTTTTACCACCCAACACTAGCCATCACCCGCCACCATTTTCCACCACTGTCTTCCGCTACCACCACTTGCCACCACCACTCACCACTCACCACCCACCTGCCACCACCACCACCCGCTACCACTACCCACCCCTCGCTACCACCACCCTCGCCACCAACACCTACCCTTCAAAAATATTTTTATTGTTTTTATTAAAAAATATTTTCTCCCAAAATAAAGGCAAGACATATGGATCGACCAATACTCCATACTATATGATTGGCTGGAATTGAATTGATCGCCTAATAGGTTCAATTGCTTTGGTGATTCAACACTGGACAACTTAATAAACAAATGAAAATTCTTTATTTTTTACTACTTTTATATAGCTTGCTTATTTGTATATAAATTTGTATTTGTGGAATAGCAATATGTAGGTCCGGATGTTATGATATGTTTTTTATTTTAATTTTTTATCAATCAATATAAGATAGTCTTTTAAATATTATAAAAACAACATCAAATTAAAAATATATCTACTCCCCAACTTTTCTTGGAATATACCTTGGTCGGATTGCGGTGAGTTGTTAAATATTTTGAAGTTCAAGTACAGGCATTTGCCACCTAAACATAATTTCATATTGCAGGTGGTTGGGGTGGTCGTCGATCGGGTGTGAGGCAAAATTCAAGGCTGGTGTAGGCTAGAAAAGATTTTTTAAAAAAAGAAAGAAAAAGAAAAAATGAAATTACATGTTCAAGTTTAGCACCCGGCATTAAGCTTAAAAATCTACTCCAATTCTAAACTTTCATTCCAATTTCAAACATGCCCAATAAACTTATATTAAATAAAAATTAATCTTAAAAACTAAAAAATTAACAATGCTGTAATTATTGCCATAAGTTCAAAACTTAGTAAGTTTATTTTCAAATAGAATGTAACAATTTGTATATAAATTTATTATATATAATCGTTTGTAGTTTATGTTTTTCTAAAAATAAACAAAAAATAAACAAAAACCAGTTTATAAAATTTTTGTAAATATAAACTGAAAACGTAAACGTTACCAAACACACCCTTAGGCTTCGTTTGGACATTTCAGTTGGAACTAAAAAATACAAAAGATACAATTAGTTAAATCAGTTAATAAAACAAATATCATATTTAAATAATAATTATTTCATTTTTTTTTCACAAAAGTAGAAAAAATCAAAAAAAAAAAATACCAAATAAACTTTTTAGTCTCAAACTAAAAAATTTCAACTCTAAAAAGCTAACTAAAAAGAATTTTTGCCAAACGGCAACTTAAAAATTTTTTATGGACAAAATTGAGCAAAAGAAAAAGAAAAAAAAACAAACAAGGGAATTGAATCAAATTTTAGAAAACAAAGTATAATTTACCATGATTTTAACTCCCAATTATACTGCAAACAGTAAGAATGAATTTTCTTATAAACTTAAAACCTTATTGTTTACCCTAATTCAAATCCAATTAGATTTTTGGTTGTAAAGTTAGGTTTACGCAAAACCCCTCAAGACCAGTTTTCTGTTGTGGACTTTTCTCCATCAAATCAAACCCCAAAACCCTGCTCTTCTCTCTTTGCCCTCAACTGCCAAACCCTTTAGACTTCGGTTCTCAGTACACCCACCTCATCAGCCGAATTCGAAGCCTCTCTCCGTCCTCTCAAATCCAAGGTTTTAAAAATCGGACCAGTGAACAAACCGGAAAAATGATCGGATGGATGGGTTACTGGTTCAACTGGTGGATTGAACCGGATCGAACCGTGACATCATAATTATGTCATAAATAATTTTTTTTAAATATAAATTAATAATTTAAATTTTCAATTTTCAATTTTTTTTTAAAAATCTAAAATATTTTTAGTGATGTTTTTCTATACTTAAAAAAAAAATTTCCTGAATATAAGCCATAACATTTCACATACTAACAACAAATAAAATTAAAGATGGAAATTTAGTATTAAAAACAACAATCATAGTAATAAAAATTATGAAAGCATCCAACTAAAGTAATCCATAAAACATAAGCCACAAAAAAGACAAAACTAAGTCCAAAGTTTACTGACATAAAACATAAATCTCAAGCAACAAATGTGAAAAGATGTTTACTACATGACATCATTCTTAAAAATAAAAAATATATATATAGAAAAGAAAAAAATTCAACACAACACAACACAACATAACACCACAAACAATATTTGATTTTTGCCTATCTCCAAAAAGTTCTACCTCCATATCATTCTCAACATCATCTTCAATAGTTAAAATAAAATCATTAAACTATCAATTTGATAATGAGAGATAAAAAAAAAAAAAAATTGTTGCATAATGATGAAACATTATTTTCTAACCATCTTGTAGACCATGACATTGCTTCTTATATCATGGAGGCTCATCTTCTTCATAAAGCATTTTTTCGAGCTCATCATAATCAAACAATGGAGGCTCCTCTTGTTCTAGTCTTTCTTCTTCAATAATCCAAAACTCGGTCTTGTCAATGCTTTCAATGTCAATGGGATCATAATTCCTTGTTTTTTAATACTTCCTATATTGATTCAATTGTAAGACTAAATAAACAAACAAAATAAAGAATCCATTAGTTACTATATGAGAAAGATTAATTTACTTATTCTTCAATCGCAAGTTGTAATGAACATACACAAGATCATTAAGCCTATGATGTTCTAGTCTATTCCGCTTCTTTGTATGTATGCGTTCAAAGACGCTCCAATTCCTTTCACACCCAGAAGAGCTGCTAGTTTGACTAAGAATTCGAATGGCTAACTTTTGCAAATTTGGAGCACTGTGTCCAAACATCTTCTACCATTCATCTTATTATCAAGAAAGAAAGAAAGATATTATAAAAAATAAAAAATAAAAAGAAACAAGAAATAGATAAATGAGATAAAATATTCCAATCAAAAGCATATAATAATGATAATTACTATTAAAAAAAGAGAGAGAGATTACAACGTTGTGTTTTCTTTGATGTAGTAATGACAAGCTCTCTTCCAAAACTGTCTTGTCGATCTCGAAACAATCTAAGTTCATTCATGAGTTTCGTTTTACTTGATGTGGCTTTAGTTTCAATGACATCAAGAATACTATTCATAACCTCTGGCTTTTTGCAAAATGAAGCTTGATCATATTGAAAAGCTGGGTTCAACCAATAAGCAGCCGCATGTATATTCTTCCGCAATTGATTATCCCAACGAGTTTTAATGATTGTTGTGTAAGGCCTATACAACCTCTTATTTCTCTTAAAAATATCTTTAATACCTTTGATTGCCCTATACATGCCTTCATAAACATATCCCATGGACGGTTTCTCATTTCCATCAACAATACGCAAGAGACGCATAAGTGGCTCAACAATCTTAACAGTGATAAAGCAATCCTTCCAAAATTGTTCATCTAAAATGATATCAATGGCACCATTTCCTTTTTTCTCTTTGGCAAATCTTGAACTTGCAAACTCCTTACTTGTCACCAAAGCTTGCAAATCATGCATATACTCATGAATACTATGCAATGCAAGGAAAGTAGTGGCAAAGCGCGTTGCTTCTGGGTACACAATTTCAGTCCAACTCTTCTTCTTTCTCAATCAAGCTAACAACCATGAACGGTTGTATATGTACCTTGTCACCGTTGTTGCCTTAATAGCAAGCTCATGCACATGATTCATCTTGGAAATTTCACTTAAGATTAAGTTCAAGCAATGAGCTGCACATGGAGACCAATTTATAGATTTGTAAGTAACATTTACAAGTCCTTCAGCAGCTTTATAATTTGCTCCATTAACTGTCACCATATGAACAACATTCGACACTCCTACCCACTTAATAACCTCTAGAAACAATTTAGAAAGAAGAGTAGCATCTTTGACAGCATTAGATGTATCAATTGGTTTCACAAAAGCAATTCCCATAGGGCTATAGACAAGAAAATTTATTAGATTTCTTTGTCTATCATCAGTCCAACCATCACCCATAATAGTACATCCACAAGTAGCCCACGAACTCTTCAAAGTGTCAACATACAATTGAAGCTCTTTTTTTGAGTCTCTCAATAAAGAAACTCGAAGTTGATGGTACGTAGGAACCTTATATCCTGGACCAATGGCAATTGCGGCATCAAACATGGGCTGAAAATAAATGGAGTTCACAGCATTGATTGGAATACAAGTATCATAAAAGAGTTTGCCAACAATCATATGTGCTCTATGTATGGCTTCTTTAGTTTGGAGGGCACTTTTGATAGTTGGTTGAGAACCCGGAGTGGTCCTTGGTGCAAAATAATCACCGATTTTTGTTGGTTCATGTCTCTTCCCCTTCCCTTTCTGTATCATTGGTGCTCTACTCTTATTCCCACTTTCAGCTCCTTCATTGATTGAAATGCCCTTATTGTTCCGAGGAATTGTTCCTACTACCTCATCAGCCTCATCATCAACATTAACATAAATATCATCACCCTCAAATTGAAAGCCACCTGGACCATAAGGATTTAATTGATCATAATTTTCTTCACTTTGCTTCTTCTTTTCTTCAAATGCTTTCAAAGACTCATGCATTTGATATTGAATATTTGGGTTAACTTTTTTACATGGCCCAACCTCACCTAACTTCTTTGCAAGATGTTGCTTCATTCTATTAATCCCTTTACCTTTAATAGTTTTCCCACAATTCATACATGAGTAAGTCTTCTTTCCATTGGCATCTTGTCCCTCGATAACATGTGCCCATGCAATATCAGATTTTCCCTTTGTGGCTTGAGTGGAATTAGCTGTTGAATTCTGGCCAGATGACATCTCTCACAACTATAAGGTAGAATAAGAACAAATGAAAAAAAGAAAAAAGAAAAAAAGTACTCCTGTTCAAATTAATATTCCAGAAAGTAGGATTCATTACAATACAATACAATAATCATAATAAAAAACTACTCCTATTCTGGCCAAAGACTTTAAAAAAAAAAAAAAAAAAAAAAAAACAATAGACAGATTCAATACAATAATTAAATTAAGTGTAGTTCAAAATTTGAAAGTTAATTTTCTTCTAACTATTAGATGCATGCAGTAAAATATGTCATAAGAAAAGGAAAATAATCACAATTATTCATGGGTATCCAAAGCAGGAAAAAGGAAATCAAACAATTAATTTAGTGTATCATGTGACAAAATTTTTCATTCTATTCTATCTATAGCAACAACATCAGTAGCAGGACAAATAATTTTGCATTCTATCTACAGCAACAATTAATTTAGTATATCAAGTGACAATAGATGATTTTTTCATATAATGCTAAACAAGAAGGAGATCAAATAAACCCAAATTAGTAGAGGAATTTTTTTTTTCTTCGTAATTTTCTGTGAGAATCCAATGATGATCCTCCAGGCTCTACTTCATATTGAGATCTACGTAAAATTTTCCTCCTCCACTCACAAAAATAGCTTACTAATTTTGGACAAGCCAAATACAGTATATATATTATTTTATTTCTTTTTGACATTCGAATCGAAAGGTGAGCAGGTGTTGTCATAAACAAAACTAGTATTGAAGCAGTAGTCGTTTGACATTGGAAAATTAGTGCGCCATTTCAATTCAAAATATGTTTTCTATGTATCTATCTATAAAGGGGGAAAAAATTCTGAAGAAAAAAACAGAAAATAGAAGAATAAAAAATCTCTATATATTTTTCATTCTGTAGAAAAAAATAGAGGAAATGGAAAATCGAAAACAGTGCCGTTGTAAGTAGACCCAATTTTTTTGAAAAACAAAGAAGGAGATCAAAGATTCATCAAAATAATACCTGGAGGCTGTTGGTAGCTGATATTCTTGGCAGCAGTGGTGGTGAATCAGTGTGTAAGTTGAGTTGAGAACTTGATTTGATTCGTTAATGGAAAAAAAAAAAACAGAGAGAGATAGATCGGATGCTCTAACAGAGAGAAGAAACCTGTGTGAAGAAGCCCTAAATGGCTGCTCTGAAGATAAGCAACGAAAAAAGAAAAATAGATCTGAATTTTTTTTTATTATTATATATATATATATAAGTGAACCGCCCCAATTCAATTAACCCGGTACCGATTCGACCGATTCACCGGTTAAACCACCGGTTTCACCGGTTCTATATAAATACACCGGTATTTATATTTGACCGGTTTAAGAGGGCCAAAGGACCAGAACCTCACCCGGTCACTGGTTCAACCGGTTGAACCGGCCGGTCCGTTCCGGGTTTCAAAACCTTGCTCAAATCCATCGCGAACGTAACCTACGTCTCATCATCCTCTCATGTGGCCCCCGCTCGGTCCACGCACCCCACGCGCCGTCGTGTTGTGCAGAGGCTTGGTGGGGAGGTTAGGTTTGGGAAAAATCAGGAGTATGGGAAGATGGAAATTGAGGTTTGAGAGGGCTTGTTGTGCCTTGTTTGGGTTTGTGTTTTTGCTCTTTTGAAAGATTGGTCTTTACTTAGTTGGTTTTTGTGAATGTTATCATGGGCATTCTATGTCCTTGATAGTATTCAACACGACAAAGGCAGTTTTGATTTTCTTGTCGGATTATTATTGATGACATTGGCCCGTTTGGAAATTTGGGTTCCGTTTGGTGTAACTTTCAAAATATAGTTCCACATTTATTCTTGAGTGTGCTGTTTGTTTAGCGTTTTCAAAAATTAATTCCACACTCACTTTTGAAAACTCTTTTCAAGGGAAAAAAATTTAGGCTAACCGGTCGTCTCACCAGGCGTCTCACCCGTTGTCCGGCCGGTTGATCGGAACAGTATTCATTTTTTTTTTGGGCCTGTTATTTTTATATTACAAAAAAAATATATTTGTGAAATTTCTTTAAAATTATTTTATGAGTTTTGAATAGAATTTTGAGTTGTGTGTTTAGTTATGAGTTGTAAGTTTTTGTATCAAATATCATATGTCACATCACTCAATTCAAACTCAATTTAAAACTCTTTTCAAAACTCATAACCAAACAAATTTTTCACACTCAAATTATAATTCCAAAACTCAAAAACTCAAAATATAACTCTATTCTCAAATCATAATTCTAAAACTCTACTAAATACTATCTTAATTATTTTAGTTAGTTTTTTAATTATTTTAATTTAATTAAAAAGGTTATGTTTGAGTTAATAGTTAGATTCTTTTAGTTGATTTAAAATTATGATTTAAATATAATATTTTATCTTATTAATTATTTTATTCTATTTTATTTTTATTAATTATTTTAATCAAAAAAAGGCTAAAAAATTTATTTCTCAAACGGGGCCAAGTTTTGAAATGATAGGAAGAGATAATAATTGTGTGAATCATTACATGGCTTTTTTACCACCATTATCAGATGAATAATATTAGGGATCATGAAAAAAAATATCATAAAATGTTTCATAAAGATTTTTAGTATGTGATGTTTTATTATATATGTAATCTAATAGTAGAATTTTTTTTTATAATTTTCATAATATTTTTTTTCATAATCCCTATCATTACTCTTATTTGATTATGGCAAGGGCACTACTCAAATTAAGGTTGCTTGTTGTCATTTTGTTTCAAATTGGATGGAAGAGTTGATGAATGCGGGAACCTCTATTGGCACACCACAAAAGTTCTTAGTTCACACCAATTTTTTTTTTTTTAGATTCCAATTATGGAACAAAAGTTCATTGTTTATTGATATCTGAACAATGAATTTTTGTTTGGTAGTTAGGCGATATCCGAATAGACAAAATGGTGTGAACTGAGAAATAAAGATGGTGTTCAAATATGTGTCAAATAGCACTCTCTGTTTGATGCTAGATTGTTTAGTTAATTAGTACATTGGTTAGTTCTGTTTTCTATCATTTATGTTTGTCTTTAATTACGTTAAATAGCAATTGTGTGGGGGCATGTTTTTTTGAATAACAACACGTGGTCAAGGTGGCACCAAAGTGCCAGCCGAGGTGCCACGTGTCCTGGTCATGGCACCGAGGTGATCTCGGCTAGGCCGAGGTTATCTGGGAAAATGTCAGAATTCGAGAAAAACGAATAAGCTATAAGAGTCCAAGAATGGGGGAGGCCCTCAGCCAGGGTAAGGATAAAGCTCTTAGGGAGTTCATCTTTATCTATTAAAGAGTCCAGGATAAGCATTGGGCCAGAGTCCAAGGGAAGCTACGCTTCTACAGGGATCAGGTTAGTGCTGACTATAAAAGTAAGACACCCTTATGGGTCTAAGGTACACTTTTTGTATTCTGGCTAGTGAATTAAATACTATTTGTTATCTTTGAGAGATAATTGAGTACTGACTTGATCGTCGAAGTGCCCTTGGGTGGACGAACTACCGCCGGAGTCTTATCTTTCTGTGACAGGTCGTTCGGGCACAATCTATTCTGTCGGTGTTCTCCAGTTGAGTACCTATTTGGCAGTGTGGTCAGAAAATAGCACACACAATTTGGCACCATCTGTGAGAATGAAAGGAGGATAAATGGCCAACGACGGACAGAAAGAGAAGATTGGGGACAACATCCCTACTG